TTCTGCATGCATGAGGTTGGTAAATGGAAAAGACTTTAGCAGGGCAATAAACATATTTCCCTGCTACACCAGGAAAGCCTGTGTGTATGTGAGGACTGGACGCTGCTTCAGTTCCATTTTACAAAATCTGCACAAGCAGCCAATGTGTTCAGTTTCAGGCCTTTTACGTTTTTACTGTCCTTTCTCCTCCACCCGTTTCTTTGTGGCCTCAAGTTCACTCTTAAAGAACTCTGTTTCCATAAAGTCTTGGAATGGCATTCTGGGGTTTGTTAGTCCTTCACCACTGTAAGCATTAAAAACCTTTGTAGAACAGTAGAAGTACCCGACAGGGCCTTGCTGATTAAAAAAAAGTGTATAGCGGAACCATCGCTCTCATAGCGAGACTTTGGCTATCCACAAGCAAGACAAGTCTTTGTTTACTGCTTCTTCTTCTGCTCAGGTTGCTGCTGCTGCTGCTGCTGCCATGCCATAATACCACTGTTGCCAACTCTCGCGAGACAAATAAGCAACCGCAGCTTCAAAAACAAGCCCAAAACAAGCCCAATATTTATTGATAATTTATTATCATCAATATTATTTATTATCAATTATTTATTACCAATAAACGAGCCCGCAACTTATTAAACCGAAACTACCCTTTTATCTGAAAAGCAAAAACATAAGTTATTTTACAAAAATCAGCAAACTGCAACAAAGCAGGAACAAAACTCATCTCCAATCACCTGTGAGCAGAATAGGATTGGACAGATGGAAAAGGAGAAAAACACAAGAGCTTCAAAGGGGAGCTGTAACATAGCCACATATTTACAGGTGCATCTCAATAAATTTGATACATAACAAATAAAAAAAAAAAAGTAAAAATTAGGCTACCTTATAAAGGAAAAAAGTCATCCCACTCCTCTACGTCTACTACCATCATCGCTTGGATTACAGCGTCACGCGCCTTCTTTCTGAACGTGATTTTTCTTCAATCCCTCATTTAAAAAAGTTCAAAAAGAAGACGCGTGCGGAGGGGGCGGAATATTTGTTAAATTACGCTACAGCACTTATATTTTTACACTTATTGGCTATTAACTGTGAGCAGACAGAGTGTCAATCAATGATCTTTTTCTTCCACACTTTTTCTTTCCACTCAACTTTCTGTTAACATGCTTGGATACAGCACTCTGTGAACAGCCAGCTTCTTTGGCAATGAATGTTTGTGGCTTACTCTCCTTGTGAAGGGTGTCAATGATTGTCTTTTGGACAACTGTCAGATCAGCAGTCTTCTTCATGATTGTGTAGCCTAGTGAACCAAACTGAGAGACCATTTTGAGGGCTCAGGAAACCTTTGCAGGTGTTTTGATTAGCTGATTGGCATGTCACCATGTTCTAATTTGTTGAGATAGTGAATTGGTGGGTTTTTGTTAAATGTGAGCCAAAATCATCACAATTAAAAGAACCAAAGACTTAAACTACTTCAGTCTGTGTGCATTGAATTTATTTAATACACGAGTTTCACAATTTGAGATGAATTACTGAAATAAATGAACTTTTCCACGACATTCTAATTTACTGAGATGCACCTGTGTAAAATATTGGCTATTCGAACCAAATCTACTCTTAGTATAGGCCTACTTGTTTGTTTTTTTTTGTTTTTTTTTTCAGCCCGTGATAATTAATACATTACAAAAACATTGTAAAAAAAAAAAAAAAAAATGAG